GGCCATCGCAGGGCGCGCGGTGGGCGCCGCTTACGGACAGTGGGGGACGCGGCGCCGTGGAGGCGATGTCACCAACCTGTTCTGTAGGATGTGACGACAGTTATGCGAGTTTCTTGACGTTGATAATGCGTTTGTTTCCCGCAGAGTACCTACTCAAGATGATAAAAAGAATACCTGATTCCTCTTGATTTACCAGTTATGTGTCTTCTACAGCTCGCACTCCTATTCAGCATTCAGCATTCTGCGTATTTCAGCCTCTCAGATTGACGACCATAAATGTCAAGACCGGGACCCAATCCACTTGTCTGCGGTGGTGCGACGGTGTCTGGTTTCCACTTGTTTTGCTTGTCGGGACACCCCTTTCCTATTAGCATTGGGTAAACGAACGACACGGCTGATGTGCAGCGGCAGAATTTGTTGACTGGAGATGATCTCAGTTGTGCCCTGTGGGCCGTCCTATTACGGTTTGAAGGAGATTGCTGTCAATCACGACAACAGTTTCTAGATATATTCTTTTGAATTGATTTGCAGCATATAGACGATGGTCCTGTTCAGTAATCATATAGTCACTACCTTGTTTGGTCAAAATGATAACAGGCTGAATTTGAACATAATTATAATGCAATTAATGCAATTACAGTCACTGCGATTCAAATGAGAGCCTCGACGAGATATAGGTAAGTGCCAATCTGTCTGAGTGTCACGTTTAGTATAAACATTCACGATTGTTGCGCATACCTAACCCATATATTATCCTGAGCCATTGTTACCGGTACATCGGCATTGTTTCAGTGTCCCAAAATTGAGTTTTGTCTTGGGTGTCAGAGGGGAAAATTACCTACCAAAAAGAGGGGAGAGAGTGGAAAACTGCTGATTCGATTAGATCAAAAAGGAGTGAGAAATGACAAAAAGCATGCATTTTATTCTAGGGTGTAGAATGTTTGATGCTAACTGGGCATCCACACAACTGTCTTTCTATAGGTAAAAAATCTATGTTTTCTTGGTTGGGACTTGGGAGTGGAAAATTGTTCTTAAAAATGGTGGTGAGAGTGGAAAATGAATTTCATTTGGATGTCGTTTCCCACCCAAATAGACAAATTTTGGGACATTGCATTGTTTCGCATTTTTGTCCGACAGGATGGCCTCGAAACCGGTTCCACTAGCTTCATCTGTGCCCATAGGCCATATTACTGTTCATTATTCATGTTGAGTGACACTTTACGGTGTCACTGACCATTGTTTTCGAAGGTGCAGGGTGTCACTGTCATAGTTTTTTAAAAGCAGATGTATTATTCAGAACATTTAGTTTCATTCGGCCATGTTTAGTTTGACCGAACTAAATGAACATTTTAGTTCATTTAGTTCGGCCAGGTAACCAGCTAAGTTACTGCATATAAACTGCATGTTTACCCACGGCCGGACTAAGGACACCCCAGCAAACATGGATAGGTAATAATATGCAACAGTGGCGGCGGATTCGATTTTGGCGTGGGGGGGCAAGATCCCAGTCGAGATGATGTCATAGGCGGATCCAGAAAGGCGTTTTCGACGCTGTAGGGGACATACCCCCCCAAAAAAAGTGTCCAAAATCCAAAACTCCTCGGATTTCGATTCCTTACGGATCTACTGCTGAACAGTATAAAGCAAAAAAAAAAAAATCCTGATGAAAGTGTAATCATTAGGAAACATAAGGTACGTTTTGTCTCTTTCAGGCGATGCAGGGGCTAGGGGAGGGAGAGTAAATATTTGCTTTAAATGCCCGCTCCCTTGATCCGCCAGTGGACGATGTAACGCTTTTCGTATTGCTAAAAGCTCCAATGGGAAAAGTTGTGCCATAACCCGATCGCATATCAGATTTTGAAGAACAGTTCCAAACCTTTTGAAGTAGGCGAGCGCTATTCTTCAATGAGGTAACTCGTTACCATTTCCTCTGTTCATTCTACGTTCGATTTCCGTTTAACCTTCCTTTAAAAAGTATTTCTGAGACAGATATCAACTGAAACTAGCTCACAGCGGGAAGAGACCGCTCAAACATTCAGAGACAGTCGGTCGCATCTAAACCTATTGGGACAGCGATCCGCCAGAAACCCTTCCCAAGGCAGTAGTTCGCCAACTAAGCTCACCGAGACGGGCTGTCTCGATGGGTTTATACAGTTAGCCTACAGCAAGGCTTAACTAAGGCCCAAACGCTCGTCAAGCTGGGAACGGAGGGCTGAGGTGAGGGAGCGTGGCGGTAAGCTGGGGTGAAGGAACGGTGGACTGGAACGAGAATCCAGAAGTTCTGGGTAGGGCGTTTCTTTATTAGGGCTTTAGGGTGCGCTGACTGTGGTAAGGTCCAAATTATCACACCAAATTTTGCCACGACATCTACCGGTTCAGGCACTCGAGAATCAGCGGCCAGTGATATCTGCAAAGACGAAGCATTTCCAACCCAGCTTCAGCCTGGTGTCAGGGACTCAGGGTGCCTCAGGTGGCTTTAATTACAGTTGCACATACCAAACGACCTCAGTGCAGCCAGTCTGTGGCCGAAACCATTCGGAACAGACTTCAACAAAAAGTGAGACAAGGTTAGTGCTATCGTTAAGTGCCATTATAGACTTGGGCCCCGTTGGCTTGACCCACTGGAAGGTGGTAGTTATCGGACGCTGCGGGGCATACTCATTTTTCCAAAATGCCTCAGATTTTGCTTTCGTGTTCATAGGCGGCGGAACGGGAAGGGCACCGGGGCACCGTGCCCCCTTTGATTTTGGCATTTTAACGTTAGCCCTGTGAGCGTTGCATGGAAAGAATGGGACCAAAAGTCGGCAGTGCCCCCATCCCCCCTTAATTGAAGGTGTTCCGCTGCTACTGTTCGTGTTTGATGCTCTTTATTCTATAGTCAGCCTTTAGACAGAGGGGGGCCACTAATGATCAGTGCCCTAACCCTCAAAAGTTTCCAACATTAATTTTTACTTTTTTTATAGTGAAAACTGAAATAAAGCGGATACTGAACTGTGAACATCCAGTTTTCACACTGGCCCCACACAAGCCTCCGAATGCCCAAAGCAGATCTCTGATGACTGGCCTTTGGGTTTCATACCATACCGTACATTGGTCAATGTCGTCAATGTGTACTACCTCGCCGTTTACCATTTTATGCGCTGGAAACTGTTGCGCTCGAAAAAATCAGGGGAGTGGCTTATTATGAGCGCTCATCAGTCCTAACTACCCGCAAGCGAATGGCTAGCCCTTCCGTCTCCGCTCGCTTGCGATTTGGCACTTATGTAGGTACAAAATAGAGGCAAACGACCACTGAAGGTATGAGTTGCGTCTCTTGCACACATCTATAAATCGAATCGGAAAAGACAAAAAAATGATATAAAGCGGAAATGGTTAGCATTTACACATATTCAAAAGGCACCGTTGGACAAACTGTAGGAGCACATAGCTGCAATATCAGGTTATAGAAATTTTCCTCATGTTTAGGGCACAAATTATGGAGGGGCAAGAATATACGTTTTCCCCTCCTCCAAAAGTTTCTTAGGGAACGATGCCTCCTCTGCCACCCCGTATCCGTCGCCCCTGTAAGCGGTCACTGAAGGCCTGGGTTGCACTTGCCGCTGCGTCACGTTGACGCTTATGCCTCCAAAACTAGGTTGAAGAGAGGAAAACTTCAATTGAACGTGAACGCTTGCCATTTAAGAAAGGCAACGTATGATAAAGTATATGGGCATCTGGTTACATCTTCAGATGATCGAACAGAATAATCAGATATATGGTTTCTTGTCTAAGCTTTGTCACAAATTATGGGGGGGCAAAAAGATACTTTTGCCCCCCCACGAGTTTGCCAGGGGGGGCAGCTGCCCCCCCTGCCCCCCCGAATCCGCCGCCCCTGATATGCAAGGGTCTGCGGGTAGGTTGATCAGTTCACTTTAATCTTTAATCTTTAATTGCATCTTTAATTGCATCAAAGTTATCTATCGCCCAGGCACGTAACCAAAGACTCGCTACAGTTGTCGGCAGTTGATATGCCAATGCAAATTCTTACAGGAACACCAGGCTCACCCCGAGCGTGCCACTGCCCGTTATTCGGACGAGTCTTTCGGATTTTCCTAAAATTCACGGCTCTGACACCGGTCTGATGCCATCAGTCACATCACGGCTAGATTTCATGCAGATTTAATTACTCGTCACCCCTAGCCAGCAGTGTCGTGACCGGGCCGACAGCGGTCACTTTTCTGGACGCAGTGACGTCACTGACGTTACGTGGTCTGACGTGACGTGACGTGATCCCTCTGACGTGACGTTATCCAACGTGACGCTCTGTTCCGACCGTGACTCGCTGTACCCTGCGTGACGTGACATCCTGTGATGTGACGTTCCGCTTCGCTCCTCGTCACCACACTTCCTTCAGCTGAGTGCCTCCGGCTGTTGTGACGCTACTCGCCGGGGCCGGGTCGTTGTGACGTCACTCGCTCTGGATGCTGTGACGTCACCCGCTTGCCGCCGCGCCCCTGTCAGCACCAACAGACAGCGCTGTTCCTTCCTGACTCGTGCGGCGGAGGCCGGCAGTCCGGCTGATGGAGGAAAGTGACCTCGGTGACTCACCGCTGTCAATGAAACACGGGACGCGAATGAATGTTCCCCGGCGGGTGACTCCGGTCCTGACTCGTTGTGACTCACCCGTGAGGTGCGGTGTGGTGCTCTCTGAGTGGTTCGTTAGTGATGGGTCAGTGGTGACGCACCAACGACACGCAGCTGGCAGTGGTGACGGCGGAGGTGAATCGCTTCTCCCACGCTCTCAGCTTGCGGCGAGCGGGTGGGCGGAGTCAATTTCAGACGAGGTCACGCCCCACTCCTCGTTTGTAGAGTCAATTGAGGGGTGAATGTGGGTAAGAGGGAGTGGGATTATTTGTAAGTCTGGAATCAGTGTGTGTAATTACATCGTTTATCCATCGCCATGGCGCCTCATGTCTGGGCGTGTGATGAATCACATCAGCGTTCTTCTCTGTTTATTCCAGAACGTTCTAACCACCGAGTGTGACGGACAGTGCAGAAGTGCCTCGCTCCCGCTACGACTTCAGCTGGCCATCACTCGGACTCTGATAGAGATGTGGGCGCTGACCTGGGCCGCTGGGGCCCTGCTGGGCCTGCTGACGGTCTCGACGGCGTTCAACCTGGACGGGAGGCACCCGGTCATCTTCCAGGGCCCGGTGACGGAGCCAGGAGTGGCGCGTGGTGCCTCCTACTTTGGATACGCCGTGGGGCTGACCAAGGCAGACGACGGCGCCTGGTGAGTACCGTGACGTCACGCATACAGAACACAGAACACAGAGAGAACCTTGACCATTGTTTGGTGCTGCATTGGTCCGTCAAGGCCGAGTTTGAAGGCATCACACATGAGCTGTTGGGCCTCTACTATGCATACAAATATTTTGCAAATCCTTATCGTTATTAGTTCAAAGATCTGTTCCAATAAAGTTTTAGATATTAATTGTGCTTCATTTTCGCCAATTTCATACTGCATATTTCGTCCATCATCTATATTGTGGCGCCGGTTCGCCCGGCACACTTATTTCCTTCGCATTTACATTTTACCGTGACCTACTGTTAACGCCAGGCGCCTTGAGACCCTAATTTTTCGCGATTATTTTAAAATGCGTGGAATAATTTCAACCATATTTAGGAAATAGCTGTTTCAAGACCTGTCGAAACTTTTTCTTCAAATACATTTTGTTGTCACTTAAATATTTGTGGCACTTGTCATTGACTCGTAATGTTAACTGTTTTTCCATCCTGGATAGAGGCTTTCATACGTCATATGACATTAGGCTCCGCCCACGACTGCAGCATTGACCCGTGCCCATCAGCGACCTCTGTACAAACGACACCCCTGCCATCTGTAAAGGACTATGAATTTCGCTGACGTTTCACCTGCTATGAATCAATTGCAGCAGACCGTCAAGTAAATGTTAGGCTCTTGTTGACTCTTGTATAAAGGACCAAGAGGACCATCACTCCTCAACCTACTACTCACACGTGCTTCAAACAAACGTTAAGGATTCCTAACAAATACGATTGTCGATGTAGGATATCTGTTTGAAATACGAGCGAGCCTTATGATGTGAAGCGAAGGCAATTAACTTATTATTGCGTTGTTGGATGGTTGCATAGCGATGTACAAATCGGCAGCTACTTGGTGACATCCGACATCCCATTATTGCATTATCTGCAACGCCATAGGCTTTAAATACAGGTGAATATTTCCTAAAGTTATATGCCATCTGCCCGTCATTTGCAGCTTATAAAAACTAAAACAAATATCAGCGAACATATCAGCATTGTACAAGCAATGCGCATTGAGCATTTATGGCTCTTCAGTCATCATGTCGCTCTTTGGGCACTGTCAGCCAAGACGTTACGCACAACTCCGCCGGCTCTCGGCACCACTCGACCGTCCCCGCTCCCCGTCACAGCGAGAGGAGCGAGAGTGACCGCGCGCCGGCCCGAAACCGCCGCAGGCCAAGACCACAGAGGCGGGGCTTAGCTGTGACGTCATAACGTATCACAGACTGACTGGTGATAGCCTCTACACACCGGGTGAAAATCTTGCTCGAAATTTAACATTACGAGTCAATGAGAAGTGCCTGAAATATTGAAATGGCGATAAAATATCTAAATTGTAAAAGTTTCGGCAGGTCTTGAAACGGCCATGTCCTGAGCTTGGTTGAAATTCTTCCACGCATTTGAAAATAATCGCGAAAAATTAGGGTCTCAAGGGGTCTGACGTTAACAGTAGTCTCTGGCTGCTGCTTCTCCAGACAAATCCATGACGTACCAGACACACAGATGGTTGTATGTTAGTTTTGCCCATCCTGGTCGGCCCTTATCTGTGATATTTTCCACCGGCCTAGTGTCCGACGCGTTCCATCTGCCCGTATCCCATGTTGCTGGCGTGTGCGCTGACCGCGCTATCCAGCCGTCCACCATCCAGCCCCGGGGGCTACGGATGACCTTGAGAGGAACACAGGAAGGGGTGGGTCCTCGCCAGGTGTGGCTACCTCCTCCAATCATGTGATGTCATGGACGCCCGACGGGAGGGGGGGGGGAGGAGTTGCCGATAGTGATCTGGGCAGCTGGAGACTGGCGGCGCTCCGTCTACCGTCTGCCGTCTGTCCTGCCATATGTTCGTCTGCCGTCTGTCCTTCTGTCCGTCTGTCCTGTCCGTCCTTCCGTCTGTCGTCTGTCCGTGTGGCCGTCTGTTCGTCAATCTGTCCTCTGCAGTCTATCCATCTGTCCGTCTCAGCTGGCCTTCATACCCGCTCCCCCTCCCCCACCCACCACCCACTCCCTCCGGAAGACCGCCCCGACACCCAGCCCAGGCTCCCTCACCGCCTTCCTGTCCGTCACGAACACCCCGTCACTGCCAGCCCACGGTGACTCGACTGTCGCCACGTCACGGGCGCCGTGACGCGTCACGCTCCGTGACCCTCGGCAACAGACCGTCCGGCGTCCCTGTCTCCGGCGATTGAAACGAAGCGACCGGAAGGAGTGCCGGCTTTTTGATGAAGTGGGCCGTCGTGTCTGTCACACGGTCGTCATACGGCTGATATTGTTATGACGTGTGCGAGGAGCTTTGATCTGAAGTTGGGATTGTGTTGTCTGTTGGGAGCAGGTTGAGACGCCAGACATCGTTGATGGTTTTTTGGTCGATTTTATCGCATCAGTAGACGATCTGAATGCCTGATTTACAAGGAAACGTCCCCTTGGCGCAACTGTCAGATCGGGCTGATTGCATGTCTAACCAGCTTCCTGATCGCGTCCCCCTCGTCCTTCCTGTCTATTATTCGTCATCCAACTCAATCTACCGCCTGTTCCCCTCCATTCCGCCACGTGATCTGCGGGAAAAGAGAACAAAGGAGGACTTTGAATTTCAGCAGCTGCCGTAAAGCGACGTGTAGTTGGGACGCGCCCGAAGCAGGATGCTGCCTATCTTTAGATAATCTGTTTCTACTTCTTGGCGACAAGTGCGATGTAAAATTCATTGCCGTTTGCACGTACGAATACCTGTACACAACGCACAGCATAGAGCACCTTGTGACTTGCATCCTGTAGGGCTCTGCGTCTCCCTCCGTCCTCGTCTCTCACTCCGCTTACCACCAGTGTGTCTGCTGACTGTATAAATGACGCTGCAGCGTATACATAAAATGCGGGAAGTTGTTGGCCAGAGGCCTCTGCAGGTGCACGGTTCAAGCGGCACCGCTGGCGGCGGCCCGGGTCAGGGGTGAGCCGGCGGGTGGTGGCCCTCCGCCGCCGATCGGTGACCCGTGACCCGTGACGGCGCGCTGTCTGTCAGAGCCGTGACTACGCCTCGTCCCTCACCGACGGCCCCGATCGGGCTGGGCTCTCAGTTCTCACTTCTCAGTTCTCACTTCTCACCAATCGGACGTGCTCTCTCTGGTCTGTCACTAACTCCGTGCCCGCCGTACGCCCTTGGAATTGTGAATTCCGTCTCTGCCTTCCCTCACTGAACGCCAGCCGGTCATTCTCATTAGCATGTCCTCTTCGACAACCACTCGGCCCCTGAGCCACTGCACTATCGACTGGCCAGCGTCTCCCTTCCAGTGGACAGGGCTGGCCGGCTCGTCTGGCCGCCCGGACCGCCAAGGCTGCCGGTGGAGCGTGGTGACAAACACTCGCCTCCTCTGCCCCCCCCCCGTCGGCCGGCCCGCCGTCGACTGGGTGACCGCTTTCCCGGAAAGTGGGCTCTAGGGTGGCTCGCTGCACTGAGAGCGTAGGCTGCGCGGCGCGGTGGTGTGCGTTGCGCCGTTGCACCGTTGCGCATTATGAACGTGGTTGTGACGTCAGTTCAGGATGGGCTCGGCTCGACCGTTTGCCGTTGCGGGTGGTGGGTGTGGGTGCCGGGCTCCTGTCAGACCCCTGGTGGGTGCCGGCACCCCGGCTGACCGACGTTGCCGCACCGCCGCACCCCCGTGTGCCGCCCACTGCGTCGGACCGGCTCGCGTCGGGGGAGTTCACCACAGCTCACCACGAACGAGCGAATTGAGGGACAGCCGGGCGGACGGCGGGCGGCAGAGTGTGATATACTGCTGGTCGGGCCGCGGCGGTGGTGTTTGGTGCGGGCTCACCACCACCCATTGCACCGCCGGCCGCACCGCGTGACCGCCGCGGGCCCGATGGGTGGGAACCGCACCGCCGCGCGGCCGGCGCGGCGGGCGGGCGGACGGGCGGCAGACACCCACCCCGGCTTCGCCGGTAACGCTCGGTGGCTCGCCGCCCTCGGGCCACCGCTGCTTTACCGGCGGCGTGTCGCCGTTTGCCAGCCGACTGTCTGACCGATACCGGAGCAGAAGGGTTATGTCGAATCACGTGACTAGAACCGGACCGCGGTACGCGCTGATAATTAGTGTCCCCACTCGGCGGCACCGCCGGGCGTTAATTGGGCATGCCAGATAATGAGCGAACCAGCCCCGGTGTCGCTCTTCACGCCTCATTGGGTGATTGGATCGGGCATCCACGTGGTAGATCGATTGATTGGTGAGCGCTGCAGCGGTGCTTCAGGAAGTGACTGGGAAATTATCTCACTGGAAGTGCACCTGTAGCGCAAGCAGGCGACCGGAAAACGTAAACCGACTCGTGCTATTTCACGGTGAGTTTCGTCGAAATAGCCGTACGTAATGCGTTTGGATCCCATTTTCTTGTCGGCGGTATGACAGCATGGAGTCGATGTAAGCGATTATCCCTGATATCAGCCAGCTGAGCCATTAACGCTGCTTCCTGTGGCACCGAGGAAATTTAAACAACGCCGCTGGAAGCCCCAAAACGGCGCTCGTTTCCCAGGGGTTCCATGGGAGTCCAGCGCCTGTGTTCTGTCTGTAATCTCGACACACCAGCACGGGTCCCGATTGGAGGGCTGCGGCCGGTCCGCGAGCCATTGTGAGGGTGTGCTCCCTGGCGCGCCGCCCGCCCCTGACGCCTCCGATTAGCATAATTACCCACCGACGCACACGGCGGTCGGCCGGGCGCTGTCTCCGTGCCGAGTGGCTTTCGGCGGCCGGTCACCACTCGAGAGTCGCGGCTCGCGAGGACACGTGGCGAGCCGCAGTGACCTGCCGACGCAGCGCCGCGAGCGTGACCAACCTGAGTCCCCCGGGAGCCACCGGCGGGCCGTCCCCGCACGTGTCTGCACTGCGTGCCGCGTGCCCATCCGCTGCGACAGCCCGCCTGAGAGCGGGTGGGCGCCCTGACAGCAGCCGCCCCTCGCCTGGCCGC